CTCCACCAGTTCAGCTGACCTTTAGTGACTTCTTCCTCTTTGTTTTGTATTACCTAGCTAGCAACATATTCTAGGCCTTTTAACCTTTATTATGCTGTGAAACAAACATGAGGTATTCAGAAACAGTTGGACCGTCGTAATAATGGAAAATGTCACGACTTACTCAATAAAAACTCTGCAGCAAAAAATGTGAATTATTCACAGCAGACCGAACACACCTCATAACCTCGGAGACAAAAGCCACCTCCATGGTTCTTACTGAGCAGCCACTACCCAAAAACCCAGCTACTTATTTACCAACTGTGTTAAGCTGTTCATCGTTTAAAGATGAAGTAAAAAAAATTAAATAAAAAACAATAAAAAAGAAAAATGGTTAGTTCAATCTGAATATATTAGGGAATGAATAGATGAAAAGGAAAAGAAAGGCCTTAGCTTCATCATTAATTTGAAGAATTATATCTATAAGCAAAACAGAAGCTCCTTCCTTCTTGTCTGGTTGTTTTCATTGTCTCTAGCCTGCAGTCTAATAAAAGGCTGTGCAGCTCATCTGTCAACTGTGTACATTGTCCAAAGCATAACTCTATGGCACCTTGACAAAGACGAGACCGTTTAGAGAGGGGTTTCAGACTTGCATTCATGTCAGTAACGCTCTGCAAGTTCAGCCAGTTCTTGGGTTATAACACATTAAATATGTGATTCTCAAACTATGGAATCATTTTTGGTTAGAGAATGAAAGCAAGAGTTAACATACACCAAGACCTGAATTAGGACAGGAATTGAATGAAATCCATTTTAAAACAAGTAATATTATAGGATTTGGTCATTTATAGATTAGGGTTTTTGTTTGAACAGTCTTAAGTGTTGGTGTACTCTTTACATTGACAATCACTGTGAAACAGAATTAAAGTAGAAGCTATGGCTTTTGCTCATCCTTTCTGCCTGCCGGTGTGATGTGACCTGGTTAGATGTGCCTCATCTCTTTGAAAAACCTGAATTGAGCGTAGGCTGCTGTTATAACACTAATCATTAATAATTACAACCTAAAACAAAGCACCTAGTTTGTGAAAGGGCAGAATGATTTTCATGTGTGTTTTGTCATTAAAATATTCAAAAGGGGAACATGTCAGCAAACACCTCACATTGCAATGAACCTCAGCTTAGAGAGATGTGAATTTGCTGACTGGTTAAGCCATAGGTCAGAAGGTCCTTTAGAGAAACAGGATAACATTTTGAATGTTTTAGGTAAAGTGCTATTAGAACATTATTCCAGCTTACTAAAACCCAGCAAATAAACCTTAATGTTACATTAAATATGGTTTAAACTTCCAAGATATGCTCTGGTAATGGGAATTTTCAAAGTGATTCATAATCCAGAAGGAACCTGCTAACGTTCCTAGGTATGATCCCAGTGACTGTACCGAACCCACTCACTGCTTTATGCCAGCTTCAGAAGCAGTGCATGCTGGGAAGTCTTGGCACAACATGAATAAGCCAAGCCCGTAGAGGCGTTCCCATGTATTTCAGCATTAAGGAAGCATTGTGTGCACTGTGTAGGTTTTCAGTCCTATTTTGAGCGAGTAAAATTATGTAATTCGTCACTTTTGTAATGCTCCCTGGCACAAAATGCACATTACTTTTGTATGTGTACAGAACTTTAATATGCTCACGCTGTTGTGATGCAGACAGGCACTTCTCTGCCATTCACCCTGAATGAGCATACCTAATACTTGGCTTTCCAAGTGACTAAACAAAAACTGTTTAGCATGCTTGTCTTTCACCTCCACCATCAGTATGGAGCAGAGCCAGCGTACAATGACAACACAGAGCTTAGAACATCATTACTGAGTGTGATGAATATTTCAGCTCACCATAGACAGCACAGGGGACATATCATTTTTACCAACGATCCCCGTCTTCCCTTTTGATTGGCTATAATGGGCCTCTGAATCCCAGAGTTCTACTCTTGGCCTACCATTTTGTGTCGATGCCGCCCAGAATAGACAGAACCAAGCACATTCACATTATCACTAATGGAAATGTGCAATGTGGGAACACATTCCCATTAATTACTTTGTCATGGTTGACACCCTGACAAACTTGACCAGACATCGATCAAGGTAATAAGACAAGATCAAGATTCTGAGGATATTAGTTACAGGGTTGCAGATGGGTTTGGGTGATTACCCTTGATATTCTCGGTTGCATATGTTGCTTTAAGCTTTGCAGAAGGATCCGAGCAAATGGCATCATTCCTCTTCTCCCTACTACAATGTCCTCCACATCTCCTTGAAGTAAATCTAGATGGCTTAGAGTGGTCGTATTTTGCTCAACAATAAATTAAAGCGGACAGTTTGAGAGATGGTCAGGCTTGAATCTAAGACTTTGTGAAAGCTTTTCACTCCCGGCTATTCCATGAAGGATATAGAGCAGTCCTTCTGCATCAAGCCTTTCTGCATCAGTTGTATAGCAGCTGTAGCTCGTTGTAAAGCCAATAAGATGCAGGCATGGCCAAGAATTGCTAATTGGGTGAGAGGCTCAGATAATGATACATGCCCCCACCTTCCTAAAATAGGTTGTCAGACTGCAGAAACACACAGTGGTCAACAAACTGGACTCCATGTGACTCTTGGAGCTAAGAATAAGCAGAAACCTTAGTGCATTAACAGTCACCACGAAGTCAGCCAACCATCAACGATGAGGTATTAATAGATCAGAACTGTGTCTTCAGCAGCAACAACAGAACAAAATATGGAATTGCCTCTTAAATGCCTTGTAGCTATTTGCCTATCAACTCTTCAAAGAAATATGTACGGTAAAATCAAAAGGGAAACCAAGAGGGTACAACATTAGTAGGAGTAGCATTATGTCTCCTTTCATGCAGTTATGTTTTGAATTTCATCATCAAGATGTATTTCAGAACATCCTAAATCATGCCGCTAAAGCTCGGTTACTTTATATCCCAGCCTCTTCTCAGGCAGGGTTTGTGTTAAAAAGCAATATGACTAATGATGTGGAGACAATAGTATCAAAACATCTGCGCTCACTTATTTTCAATGGGAATAAATCAGCTACAACAGATTCAGTAACTTCATTCAGTGAAATGATCCATTGAGGAAAAAAAAGCACAGCTGATCATTCAACACAATGTTAAGAGACACTTTCTGATTAAGAAAGGCAAAATTCATGACAAACATGCTTTGAGCCGGCTGCCATCGAATTCATGAAGTTCATTTTATATTTGCTTAATATAAAATGAATATCTCCCTGACCTACTTGTGGTTGCTCTAAAGCTCTCATGTGGATTTTATATTTTGCAGCAATATTTTCTTTTGTTTTATAACCATACTATGTAGGACAACCAAAACTACAGAGCTCATTTTTTATTATTATTTTAGAAAGACATTTTCCGCCCCATCCCCAAATTCGTGTCTGCTGTTGGGTCAAACTAAAATAATCTTCATGCCACCATAATTTAATTTTCACTCTATTGATATTAAATTCCTCTGAACAGATAACAATGATACCTTGTTCAAATTTGATTAATTTGTAATAATGTCTGCTTCACAAACTTGCAGAGGTATTTTCAAAATGCCCCAAAGTTATTAAAGACAAGGTTCGTGGTCAGAATTATGATACTACGACATATACGAAGAGATTGTTATGAGCCAATAATAGCCCAGAGTCCTTGAAAATCCCTGGGAAATAAATCAAAAGTAACCTTTAACAGGATAATGGGTGCATTTCTGTAAGAGCTCGGACTCACTGTGAATACTTGCTTGATGGTATCATTAAATACAACAGATAAACTTAGAAGCATCCATTAAAGTCTTTTACTGACACAAATTATCCAGAATGACTGCAGAGATGCCACACAGTTGAGTTAAAAGTATTCATACCTTTGATACATTTATATTCAACCTAATCTTTTAATTTAACCAATGTTTTTTTTTTTTGTTTGTTTGTTTGTTTGTTTTCACTAGAAATGATATCAGAGTTTTGGAGTGGCCCAGTCAAAGTCCTGACTTAAATCTGATTGAGAATCTGTGGAGGGTGCAAAGAATTTGGGTGAAGACTTGGAGCTCATAACCAAAAATAAATTGTCAAAATACCATTGAAAATTTTCAAAAAACTGATCAGCAAGAAGGGTTTATGGCTGCATTGATAATGAAAATTGTCTACTGATTATTGTTAAAGGGCATAAATAATTTTAGACATGCCATTTTTAATGTAAGAAATCAGAAACAAACTTTGTGGTTGTTTCTGATAGATTTGGATTTTGAATCTAAATCTACCAGGGGTGTGAATGGTTTGGTCCTAAACGGTATGTAATGCGTGTAGTGTAACCATGATGACCAAGCTTTATGCCATAATCTAACTCAGAGGAGACAAGAAACAGTTATTTACTCAAACCATCAGCACTCACCTTCACACCGGAGACTGGATAAAGATTGTTAATACGACTTAAGTCTCAGAATTTGAGTCTGAGTAGAGTCGCAGATATTTAGAGAGAGACTCTAAGCCAAGTCTGAAGTCTTTGCAACTCAAATCTAAGTTGTGAACTTGAGGCACCGTGTCTGTCATCTCGACATCATTTAGCAATCCAGACACATTTATTCTCAAGCACGTTTACTGCATTAAGAAGTGACAAATAAATAAACATGACATTTTAAAGCCATTGAATCAGTCACGGACATTGTGTCTATTCCAAATCGAGCTTTTAGAAACTTAATACTACCCAACACAGCTACCCACTGGGACGTCACCATGTGTGCTGCCAGTCAGACTGTGAGTGTGTGCATGACCCTTTGACCATGGATCCCATTCATTAATTGTCATACAGCATGCCCTCACAGACTCTTCCCTGTTTTTTTAGGCCCACTGCCATGAAGGGTCACATACAACAACAGCCACTCAGTAGCTGTTCCTGCAGGCCAGGACCTCCCAGTCACTGCAAGATCAAGTCAGGCCACACAACTGGTTAACTGTCGCTGTTTACTCACCCTCTTGCCCTCTTTGCCTGGCTGACCCGGCACTCCGGCTGATCCCTGGGGGGAGGACATGTATAATGGAGAATTAGATGCTATGTTTAGCAATCCACAGAGACTTTGTTTTGCATCTCGTGAAGTCTGACACGAGCTGATGTCTGCAACACAAGTTGGTGGCAGACCAGTGGAGTTTGTTTGTAACATTAAGATTCAAGTTAGCTCAACGGATAACAAAAGACTCAGGTTGGTTAAAATTAAGTGCACAGGTAGGAAGGAGTATGTAAAGTTGCCGTTTCAATACTTGAATAGCTTCTCGGTGGCTTCTCCAATATCGCCCTAATAGGCAATTTGCAGCCTCAGTTGATCAGGGCTTCATTCCATTACTCTATAAAGTATCCAGATAAAAAACTATTAGCAAGCTAATCAAGGTGTATTCTGAGTTTATGTTCTTGTTAAAGAGAGTGCATATGGTGCTTCAATAGTTTCTTGTCCAAGCTAATAGTTGTATATGGCTAGAAGAGAAAACATGCCAGGAGAACATTGTTCAGCAAGAAAAACAATCACTTGTTGGCATGTTTTGTTTTTTTTTTAAAGTGTGGATCTCGAGTTTACCTTTTCTCCTTTATCTCCTCGAGGGCCCTGAAAGAGTTAAATTAAAACTTGTTATTTACAAGAAAACAAAAGCATGATCTCAAAACTATTTGAAAACAACTAAGAAAAAGTGCATTGCAAAAGTATTCACGCCACTAGAAATTCTCCACATCTTGTCATTTTACAATGATGCACTCTAACAACTTTTTTTGAACTGTATGTGTTGTGCGAACCCATTGTATGTGTTTTGTACTCCCACTGAATCTGTGGGTTTGCACACACTGGGCTAAAGAAGAAATTAATGCTTTTCAAAAAGCTTAATACAAATAAGCATTACACCAAAATCAAAATACAAATCTAATTCCTTTTACTCTGAAATTCCTAAATTAAACACCAGCCAGTAATTTGTTTTTAGCAATAGAAGACAAAAGAACACTCCAACCCTGAGTGGGGAAGAAAATGTAGCAAAGTTCAAAGTTGAATTTAGATATAGAACAATGTCCACTATTTTGAACATTATATTAATCACTGTTCACTCCATCCTCTGAAAATGGCAACAAAAAACATGATATTGTAAAAGTGAAAATCATCAGACCCATTTTAGTAAATCATCTATTCCCCAGTCAAATTTATGATGATATGTCAGCAAAATGTTAGGTCAGAAGACACCAAAATTAAAGCTGATCTGATTCTGGTGGGAAACTAACACTTTGCATGATTCTAAATATACCATCTTCATTGAAAAATATGTTGGTGGCAGCATTATGCTGAGGGGATCATTTTCTTGACCAAGGACAAGGAAGCTGGTCAAATTTGGTAAGCTGGTAAGTTAGATGGAGCAAAATTGAGGAAAATCCAAGAGGGAAATCTGTCAGATGCTACAAAAGACTAAAAACTGGAGCAGGAGTTCAGCTTCATGCGGAACAGCAACCCTGAGCATTCAAGCAGGGCTACAATGGATTGGTGTAAATCTAAGCATTTTCTAAACATGGAAAAACTTAAATGGTATGAATATTTTTGCAAGACACTGCTTAAAACCTTGAGGCAGTCATTTCTAGCTTACAATTCAAGGAAATATAAACAATTAAAATGCTGTTATTCAGATAAAAATATCGACATGTATTATATGCAAATAAAAAAAAAGGGTAATGAGGTAATTTTCCTTGACCAGTTTGATATGAAGAGAGCGAAGTCTATAACAGTCTCTCCTCACACCTTGCTGGGTATGAGCTTGGGAGAGAATGCAGAGTCATCAACCCCCCAGGCTGCAGAGTAAATACAAGACCATGAACTTCATGTGTCCGCTTTCCAATTTCTGCTAGACGATTCTTGATTCTTTCAGTGGGCAAAAGTCACACACACACACACACAGCTGATTTTCCAAATACACCCTTATAAAATAGACGTTTCATGTGAGTCAGTTGCTTTGTGCAAAGTAACGAGGGAGAAAGAAATAAACGGCACAAGACGGCAGACGACCCAAAAGATTTTGCTGATTCATCTGTGAAGAAAAAAGACAGCTGTGACCTGTGATGCTTTAAATTAAAGATGCCTCAGTCTTTCAGCAGTTGTTTTGTTAATAAATCATCAAATTCTCCTCTAGTCGGATCGTGCGCTCGGTTTGACCTCAAGCAACAAGCAATACAATACAACTGCACTAACAGCAAGTCGGCATTTTAATAGCCTACCTTCAACATTTTCTGCTTAGGCTCACCAACTCATTTACTGCCGTAATGTGAGAAAGTTAGCTAAAACTGCATTTGCCTGTCAGGGAATGCTTGTTACTTTGCTTGTTAAATAAAATTAGCATGAGAGTGTAGCTAATGAATGGTGGCAGAGGTCTGTGGGAATCGTAAGCATTTTGGTGACATAAAAGGAGCAAGAAAGCAGCAGAGGGACTGTTTTTTTTTTTTTTTTCATATATCCCTGCAGTGTTGATTTAAACTTCAGGCTGAGCCCCTCATGATGTGCACATAATTAACTACCCACCCACAGAACACCTTTAATCTGCGGCAGCCTTCAACTCTCTGGTCCGAATCCATTGAGAGCATTTGCTTTTTGCATCCGTGTCCACACATTTGTTAAAAGTGTTGATGGGAACATAGGGATTCATATCAAGTGCCTTGCAAACATTTTCACACTGCATCATAATCTCATATTTCAAACAAAAGTCACATTACAACCACAAACTTCAATGCATCTTGGAATTTTATGTTGCAGACCAACACAAAGTGGTGCAACTATGAATTTTTCAATTTGTTTTAAAATAAGAATCTGTGTGCCACTGTGACAGCATGCAAATTCAGTTCCCTGATACCTCCAAAAAAACCCAGCTGCCTTCAGAAGTCACATCGTTAGTAAATAGAGGGTTACGTGATTAGAGCAATATTATAGAATACTCTCTAATGCCAAAAAATATTAAAAACTAACAAGCAGGAAAACTGCTCAGACTCTCAGCAGTCCAGAACTAAATCCAACTGACAAACCTTGAAAATGTTTCTCAGAGACACTTTCAGTTCAACCTAACTGTGCCTGAGTTATGTTACAATAAAAACCGGCAAAGGTATTTAAAATTGAGAGGTGGATACAATGCATGCCTGAATCGCAGACTTTTATTTGCAAAAAATATTTGAAAATCACTTATCCTTTTCTTTTCTCCACTTCACAAATATGCAGTTACTTATGTTTATATATCACATGAAATCCTATGAAAACAAACTGAAGTTGATGGTTGTAATGTGACAGGATGTGGAAAAGTTCAAGGGGTCTGAACAACCAATGTCAGTGTATGTTCATTGAACTATGTCAACTGTTAAATTTTACATGACCAGGGTAACAACACAAGTCAGTCTAATTACAAGGGTGAAAAACACAGCAGGTCTGCAGAAGCAGGCACCGGACCAGAGAGAGCACATTTTACCCATGTAAGAAACAGCCAGTGACTACCTGTCACTCTCCACCTCTCGCTCAGGGCTTTGGAGCTGCACTCTTCCCCGCCTGGCTGCTCATCCCTATCCTTTCTGGCCCAAGCGAGAAGGCCTTCTGAGCCCCTTTTCCTATCTGCTCCTTGCTTGAACCCTTCCAAGGCAGCGGTAATGTGACACGGAGCCACCTCAGCTGAGCGCCTCACTTCCCATCACTGTAGTCCAGATGTTTTAACTCCACAACCAGTTCCTGATCTGCCAAAGTGCCGTGATGTTTACAAAGCCCTGTCTAACCATTTCAGGTCGTACTTTTGTGTGTCCACTACGTCCTCCTAAGTTGCGTTGAACGGCCTTACATACACAAAGCAGCATAATGAGATGTAAATGAAACAGTGTGAACTTACAGGCAGCCCTGGGTTTTCAGCCAGGCCTTCGTCCCCCTGTGCAGGAAGATCATAGCATGAGTTTGCAGCATCTCCGTCACATGCCGCTAAATCCACACCGTTCATTTTTAACTATTTGACATCCAACCTATTGGCCATCCATCATGTTTGTGACAAAACCTGAAGGTCAGTTAAAATGAGATCGACTATGCATGGAGGTAATTTTTCAACACATGCTCCAGTGTGGTAGAGGACCATTAACTGGTATTTACAGTATGTCACGAAATGAAGCATGTCTGATGACTGTCGCACTGTCAGACAACTGGCAGGTGGTTTGGAGCTATTAAATGTGGCGGGGCCTAAAAATAAACACAAACGTGCTATATCATGTAAAAGCTCTGAAGCATTAACAGCAGACAGGTATGATAACATTGTTTGGTGACTGGAGAGCAGGTTGTCAACAGAAAGTAATATGAAAAAGAAGGAGATGCCTTTTGACACCAGGATAAATTAATATAAGCAGTGTAAACACATTTTGGATTTCTAGATTGTTGCGCTTTTTGTTTTTCTTTTCTTGTCTTTTAGATAAAACCAGTTTATTGCTGTCCAATAAGTAGTGTTTACTATAAAACAATAGACTTCACAACTGGCAATATCCTGCTTTCAGGCGTTCTGAAAGAAAGGGGGAAGCAAAAGGGGAGTGGGCAGCATTACTTCATATCCATTTTTCTGTCTAAATGAATGTCACAGCTAAAATATGCCTGGTATAGGATATTCAGAAGACTCATTACTTTATGCTTCCAAAGCTGCCTCCCTCTGTCAGTTTCAATACAAACAGAGGCCCCCTTCATGCCACTTCCTCACAACCTTCCATCCAGAAAATAGGATAAAATAGCCTGTGATTCTCTGTTGTCTTCGCAGAGACCTCATTATAACTTCAAGGCTGGCAGGCAGTGCAATGCACCTACAATTATGTGGCGCATTCTATGAGAAGACAACAACACTACAAAAAATAAAACAAGGGGAGAGAATAAAAGAGCAGGATATACCAACTAATTACAGAAGAAGCATCCCATCTCATACCTGGAAAATAATTCCAGAAAGGAAAGGGAGAGAAAAAAATAAAATAAAATAAAAATACCCACCCACCCACACCCACTCCCCTCCTTTCCAATGAGGAAGCTGTATTTTTACATCAAACTACCAGTTTGTTTTGAACACATGGATTATAAAACCGCTTTCAGCTTCTGTGCAGGACTTTCCCGTGTGCCACCTGCCTTTTTACACACTTTTAAAGACAAATGTAAAAACTGTATTCTTACTCTGTGAGCCGATCTGCAGAGATCAAAATAAAAGACAATATTGTGTAGCTCGTACTTAGCTGGATGCTTGGAAGTGAGAAGGTAAAAGGAATTAGTTATAGACGTCCATCACACAGAAGGATACAAAACCATATTTTGAAATCGGTAACGTAAACTGAGTGGAAATCTTTATTTCAGGAACATTGAAAGCTACGATCGCTTTACTGTCTATAACAAGAGCATTCAGTGTCATGAAAAAGCATCCAACCCACAAACTAAAATATTTGGAGGGGGGTTTTGAGTGTGCTCAATAACATGTTCAGAATTGAGAATACTGTTCAATAATTTTAGAGTGATTTTAACTCCTCCACATCTTTATTAGAGATTTCTCTGTTATTTTCTTTGCTTTTGGTGTCACTGAACAGTTGTCTTTATTCTGAGAATAAACTATGCAAAGCTGAAATAAATAGTAAGGGGGGAATTGGCTGAAGTTAATTTAGGGGTATCAGAGTAATAGGGCTCAATGTGTACTAAACGCTCATCAGTTTAACAAGGAAAAAACGATCAAAATGTATAATTTTTTCGCCTCAAAATATCACTGAAAATATATATTGAAGTCTGTGGTTTTAGTTTAATTTAAAGAAGTCCAAGGGGTATAAATGATTTCACAGAGAACTGCATCACTGGTAATGCTTAAAGTATAATTTAATAAATTGGGCACATTTCAAAAATCTAAGTGATTCCCTCAACTCTACACTCTTAAACAGTGATAAATAAACCACAAACCCTATACATCAAGGCCAGTCTGTTCAACAGATTTCCTCCTCACTTCAGTTTCATTTGGACCAGCCAGATCAAACACACCCTTCAGCTTCTGAAAATTTACAACACACTGTGGCATCCTTACTTGCAGTTATGAAGTTGTTTTGTTTTCAATGCTGCAGAAAACATCCTGTGTTATTGTATGTCAGTATATTGCCACAGAGCATACAATCGCACGCGAGTATAACACTCTCAGGGACTCAAAAGATCAGATAATGTCAATCACATGCCACCCAGTTCCGCAGTGTGATTCACAATCTGCTGGCTACGGCGCGTCTGCCCCCCGTTCCGTTTCCCTGTCTCCCCGTGCTGCACTTTGGTTCAGCAAGGACACTGCTTGTCATTGCCTTTGAACCTTGAAGCAGGGAACCTCAGGGTGGGACTGAACTATGCAGGCTCAGGGAGCAGTCAAGCCTCCCGGTGGTGAAATGTGAAAGTAGAAGGACAGCTCAGATGAAGAGTTATAGCTGATGAATGAGGCCTGACACATATTGACAGGCTAAATTTGCAGCAAGCCTTGTTAGGTGTGACACATTTGGGCCATTGGCACCAACACTTTAAAATAAGTTAGGGCGGGAGTAGGAAAGATGGAGAGTGTGAGCAGCCTGTAAAATGACTTAGAAATCCAATAATTTGTCATGGTTAAATTTAGAGTCAGATGGGCTATTAATAGTGAATTATATATCTGCAGAGGATGATTACCTACTCTTATCACATTAAGTCTTGCTACCAGAGACGTGACTAATTCATTGCCGGTTCTCAGCAAGCCTTGTCTGAACCATTGCTATTCAGAAAACAGAAGCCATGATTAGAATGGTGCGACCGCATGTACAGTGGTGATGGCGATACAACTCCCAATAACGTGGCTACTATTTAAGTTGCGTGGATATTGAAAAGGCTATGCCATGATTTGATCAGACTGTGAGTTAATGTGCTCCCTTAGCCCACAGACTGTCAGGAACAAGGTGACTGTCAAATCATTCACACACAGGAACAGAGCAGAATATTTCTCCATTAGGGTTTTATTGTTATTACGAGAACTGGGGCAGAAGTTAAAGATTAAGGAGAGAGAGAGAGAGAGAAAAAAAAAACAAAACTTTTTACTCTTTACTTTTTGAATAGGAATTATATTATTGTAGAAAAAAAAAGAAAATCAATGTTGAAATGTAACAATGTAATACATTCACCAGTTTTGTTATAAAAAAATAACATCCACAAATCAGTGCTTCCACACCTTATAACTGGAATTATTGAAATAAAAAAAAATGTATCTAATATAAATGTATCTATTCACAACAGGATACAAGCATCAAGACATCTTATTCTTTATAAATATAGTCGATCTAACCCTTTCCGCTTTTTTTGCAGCAGCATTTTAAAAGAAATATTACCAATATGTTGAAACACATTTTCAAATAAACACAGACTTACAATATTTTTCCACAGATGCAGGAGCTGTGCTCAGTTGCACAGGTTATTATAAGAAACAGTTATTTTTGATTTCCATGTGCTATCCAAAAATTATAAGCAGCATTCATTTGGCCACCTTCAACAAAACTTTCTTTTATTTGTTTGCTGAATCAGATTCAACCCTTCTAAGTTTTCAAGCGTCCAGGTTTTAACAGCCCTGAGTTCTTGCTTCTTACGTTTATTTGGAGATACATTTAACTTTAATTTATAGTTTATTGTATCCATCTTGATTGCCAGTGACAACTTTTACTGCTCCACACCTGCTATAAGCTTTATGACCTCTGTTTATCTCCGTAAAGCCTTACGGCGCTGTCAGTGTCGCTGCTCTGGAAAGACTTTGTTCGGTATGCATTCAGCGTTTATGTGCGGAGGAGAGGAGAAGTGCATGAAGTGAGGAAATGCTTTTATCATTACTTTTGTTAATTTTTAATTAGCGGGTTGACTAGTTGACAGTCATGAGCGATAAACATCACAAAATAGACATTTTATCTTTTTTTTGACACAATATGAACAAAAAAATTAAAATTTGCATGCTGTGAAGAAACAGTAAGTAACATAGCGTTTGTTTTTAAAAGTATTGTACCTAAAGAATTTTACTTTTGACAAATACACTTTTAACACTCCAAGTTTTTCTTTTTGTATTTTGTTAGGCTGTAAAGTTATGAATAAATAGGAGGGAAAAAAAATCATTTTGACAATGGACAATTCTCAAAGTTCCTTTTATCTTGCAAACTAATTTGATTAACAAAAAAAAACCTCATGTCTGCAAAAAAATATGATTACAAAGTATGCATCATGATGTGATTACCTCTTATAAACTCCTTGATCTAAACAATAATAACGTGAAATATATGCTTTGAGGATCAAGATGTGCGTTGTAAGAAATTGTTGACATCTACACATTTGCAGACGGACATTAAGGAGGAAAAAGTTGATGAAGAAAAGGCTGGAGTCTGGCTGTGTGGCAGTTGCTCCTGCAGCACGAGGTCAGAACACTGTGGGGAGCTGTGCACACTCGTCTGCTAATTACACACTGCTCTGTGTCTCGTCAGTCCTGAAACTGTGGGGCCACAGGACAATCTGGCAACTCCCCAGCAGAAGACAACTAACACAAGCAAACAAAGAGCCAGGGGTAGGAAGGAGGAACACATGCAGCCTAATTATGTTTACTTAAACCTTTTACCAGGCAGAGCATCTGCGGGTCAGAGAACTTGTCTCATAAGAAGTAAAACCATTTCAAATTCCAATCACTGCAGAGAAGTTTGCCATTTCCAGCTAGAGCTACCAAACCAGATAGAAGTCATTCAACGGCAAAACTGAAGATACACTAAATATTTGTATTAGCTTGAGGCAAAATTTTGCTCTTGTGGGCAATGAATCTTTAAAGCTATGTGAAACAAGATCTGCAAGTAACACAGATATCTTGAGTGCTGGCCTACAAATGCCAGGGAGGTTACAGCAGGA